GTGTACTTTAGATCTCGTGGTAACGCGGGTTCAACGTTCCATCTCACGGGGGACAACAATTTAGCTTTATTGATAAAGTGTATGAATTGTTTTTAAAGGCCCTATCTCTGTATAGTTTATGCACGAAAATAAATTGATGTATATAATAAAAATATATTAGCATTCACGATATGAATTAGTTAACAATTTGGAGAATGAAAATAAAATCTTCGAGTAAACCGAATACTATCCAAGTTACATTCACTCACAGAAGACGATCATTAAGTGTAATTATTAAACTTTTGCGTTTCGTTTGGTGAGTGAGGTAGATGCCCACTGTTTTAAAGGCTAACAACGCATCTGCAGTCCTTCAGATGTTGTAGACGTTTATGGGCGACGGTAATTGCTTACTATCGAGTAAACCGCCTGCTCACGGAACAACTTTTCGTATAAAAAGATACTATAAGATTGAAGACATTTTTATGTTATTAAACAAAAGTATTGGCGGAAAAATACTTTCAATACGGCACCTACACCTTGTTTAGCACATTTTAGCATTTTTTGGCATAAGATTTTGCCTAGAATTATGGTAAATAATGTTTGTAGATAGCTTATATACTTTTAGTGTAAATATAACCTTTAACTGATTTGTTTTTACTGCAGTAGGCCCATATAACTGATTCTGTTACCCGAATGGCCAGTCTCATTATATTTTCGTTTAGTGAAAGACGTAAAGTGCCTATTCTTTTAAAAGTTTTCAAAGAGGCTGTATTGCCGTATTAGGTTTCGTAAAATTAATTAACATTTGGTATTTGTATAACCGATGTTACGATTTCAGTCCTTAGACTATAACATTTGATTAGCTGCTTGCTCGATTGCCACCTTCTTACAAAAAAAAAAAACCTAGTCCGCCGAAAAAAATGCCTCGTCAAAACGGATTGACATTACAGTGGTAATGATTTGTCAGAATCAAAAGTTTAAGATATACATCACTAGGAATAAACATATCTTATGGAATACATAACGTTTAATGTTTGTTGAGAGGAATAAAAAGTAAAAATAAATAAATCATTATAAATATTTTCAGTTATGCAATGGATTAACAGCAAAAGGTATATGTGGTTGTGATGAGTTGGCTGAAAGGACTTTTTATACGACACACACTGACAAACCTATTTAATGTTCTTTAACTCTCACACCCTATGCAAGCTATTGAAATTCATAATTTGGAGTCAAATATCCGACATTTCCTCCGCGCATTAGTCAAGTGTGACCCATTAGATATAGGGCGTTAATTCCGGTTGACTTATTGGCACCATATCTCACTTGGACCCTTCGAGGAGGTCCGGGCATACATGCAAAATGTTTCACTTGCTCGCTTTTATTTGCACTGGTACTGTTTTTGCTGAACTTTACAATGGGATCATCCATAATCCTCGATTCGGTCGAGTGCTACCGACTTTTCACTTGTTCTTCATTAGTATCGTTAAGTTTTAACGTCTCCGGTTCAGACCGATATTCTGATAGAATTATGTTGACTAAAATGTAAACTTATCTTTACAAACTTTATTCTTAGGATTGGGAACAGCTAGATTTAGTCTTTAAGATTGGGAACAGATACGGTGGTGGAGCCAGCAGTCTCCACTGTTGCACGTATGGGCCGACCTATTACGTCCTACGCATGCATGATCTTCGCCCACACGCACCCTACTCGCTTGTACAAGTTGCAAATAATACAAAATAAGTTTATCCGCCGCGCAACGTCGACCTGCACAGCGATTGCAGACTCCCGACGATTCGCGCACATTTTAAAGATTTGACAAAACAGTTCTTCGATAGAGTCCAGACATATTCCTTGGTGGTAAGCTGGCTTGCTTCCTCATTAATTATTACGATGGACTTACCGCCGGGGGTCCCGCTTATTAGGCTTACTTCGCCCTCGCCTCCGATTACCCACACCACGCGTACACAAGGTAAAAACCGATTAGCTAAATGCACCTACCGACATAAAATCGCAGATTTTTAATTTAATTCATTAATCATGATAAAGTAGAGTTTTCTATATCTTAGCTCGGTTGGTAATCGGGCAGCCCCAAAACAGACGGCCGCGGTTCGTTAGGTGTTCACGATCATTACACAACGTCTTTAAATGATTTTTTTTTATTACTTTTTACTTACTGCTTTTACTATACCCTAGATCATTTTTTTTATTTTTTACTATTTTTTCTATTTCCAAAAACAGACGGCCGCGGTTTCATGATTTACCACAAAAAAATCACCGAGCAAAAATACATGATTTACCAAAAAAAAACCGAGCAAAGCTATATATAATTATATATATCTATATTCCTCATCAAAGTTAACGATTCAAATACAATTTAACAGCTTGTGTTAAACAGATATTGTCGAAAAATAGACAAGTTGAATAAAGTTAAAGTTGTCATAAAAAAATCGTTCAAAAATTGTTTATAAAGAATGAAAAATGTATGAGAATGCTTTCTTTCTGTTCACAATCTGTTCAAATGAAAAATACCGAAGTAGAGTCAAAAGAAAGTATATTCAAATGCAAACTATATGATTTTTCTATAATGAAAGACGTCGATAAATAATTATTTAGTAATTATTACATTAGCATTTGGTATTGTGAAAAATTTTTGTACTTGTCAGCTATTTATCCTAACTATATATTACTGTCAGCAATGTAAGCCAAAAAACACCCAGTATAAGGATTAACTTGCCCGTGGACTCTACATTATGGTGGAAATGAAATAACTTATTTGTTTATTTTATCATCGTAATGACACTCTGCTGTGATACAACTTGAACCCCACGATTTGCATGCACCCCCACGTGGGGTGATGTCGTTGATTTATGTCCGTCAAAGATGCCGGGATGGGATAGTTGTGTATCCCATGATATTATTTAATGTATTTCGTGATTTGCTCTCTCCATTGGGACGCGGCCACGTTGCTCCCGAGATTCTGCTTCTATTAATGAGGGTCATAATTCATTGAAATGCGATGTTCGCGACGTTAAAAATTGCGATTGTGTGATTTGCAACTCCACTATTTATATACGCAACAATATGTTCACAATGCTCGGATAGTAGTGGAGAATTCATACGAATAAGTTCCGAAATAAGTTGACTCGGTGGTGCGATTGCTAAGCGACTGGTTTAAGCACTAGGGTCGTGGGCTAGATTCTCGCTAGGGACAAGTATTCGTGTGACCTATAGTTGCTCCAGGTCTGAGTGTTGGTACATACGGAGGATTGAAGTCAGTACTATAGTAAAATACCTGGCCAACACCTTTAACAAGATGATATACACGTTGTGCCAATCCCACCTTAGGATAAGGACATGTGATATAGGTGATAGGAGAAATTCGTATATATAATATATACGAATAAGTTCTATATAAATAAGTTCTACATTATAGTAATCCCGTTAAGCTTGTAGGATTTTATATGAAGTTCAGTCTATAGATTGAAAGCATATGGATTGAATTCAGTCGAATTAAGTAAGTGACCCACGCCATCTCTAAAATATAAAGGCTGAATTCAGAATGTAACAGAGAACTGTGAAGTTGCTATGGCCATTGAAATTGATAGGTCTGTGATTATTTTTCAATATTAAACGACGATTATCGTGTACCATTTTGAAAAATGTCTATGTATTATTTATTACAGTTAATGTTTTCATAAAAAAAAAACTTTCCTTAAAAATAATTATTATAAAGTAATAACGATAATGCCATCTGTTGACATTTTTTTTTTAAATAAAAGGTAGCAAAGTAGTCTGAACGTTATGAAATCGTTATATAACAAAATAAGATGCCTTTTATTGTTAAATGTAAATAAAATATTCTAAAACACAAAACAAAAATATTTTGTTTTGTGTTTATATGTAACTACCAAAATTCCCTTTGGTATGATGATATTTTCAGTCGGGAACTGTCATCCTCTGTAAAAATTGTTACTAGGTAGGTAAGTCATCGAACGCCATAAACAGTTTTATTAATATCAGTTGCGATAGCAGTAAGAAATAAAAATTTTTGAACAACAATTACAATAATAATGTAACGAGAAAATAATGTAATTATCATTAATTGTTTTTTTCGTGATAAAAAACTTCGTAACTAACAAAATTATTTACGGTAGCCCGAGCTAACTGACATTAAGACGTGTGACAACTCAATCAGCCCCGTGACCGTGAACGCTGGAAAGGGCTCGAAACGTCAGGAATTTAAAAATATAATTAAACGCGATAAAATTAATAAAATAGTTACATTTAGCAATGCATAACATTCGGGAACAAACAAGAAATAAATATGTTTTCGCCTTCGTACTACCTTACTGTACTTACTTAATCTCAAAAGTAATAAATGTATAAGATACTTATTTTATTACTATTTCCATCCCAATGATAGTACATTTTTAAAATCATAGACTGATAGTTTCAATCTATCAACAACTTTTTAAACCAACTTCAAAAGAGGAGAAGGTTCTGAATTCGACTGTTTTTTTTTTGTTTATTACCTCTCGGTTAACTTTTGAGTAAGTGAGCCGATTTTGATGACTTTTTTTTCATATTTTGAGAGCTGGTGCTTGTCATGTGGTCCCATATTAATTTCATTGGTATTGGATCTTGGGCTCCGGAGATGCTTAGGGAACTCCCGAAACTCCTTACTAATATTATAAAGGCGAAAGCTTCTATGCATGGCTGGATGTTTGTTACTCTTTTATGCAAATACTACTGAATGGATTTCAATGAAACTTTAGAAAAATATAGCTTATACATCAGAATAAAACATAGGCTATAATTTATATGCATATTTTTATGTATATCTCTCTTAATGTTACGCCTTCAGGCTATTCTACGCAGACGTAGTCGCGGGCAGCAGCTAGTCAATTATGAAATGAATATGTTTGAAATCGGATTTGTTTTTCATTAGATAATAATTAAATCAAATGCAAATGGACAGACATTAGACATTTCGAGAGCGCATGATAGTGACGAAACAATGCGCGGACCATTTTTCTCGGCGAAATCCGCGCGGCTGACGTGCGCCCGGGCAAGGGTCCGTAATCGTCCCGTGATAAATGACCGGCCGGGTGACACGGACGGACTTAAGGACACCCGGTTAACCGGGTCACAGCCGTGCGAGATACAGGTCGCCGCAGATAGGGCCGGATTGATGGATCCTGCGGCTTGCCCGGGTGCGTTTTGACAGGTGGCCGGATAAACGCCGCGGGTGTGTTCCGCTACGCGACATCTGAGAGCCGTAGATAATTTGGTTGAGGCAGGGCGCGTGGTTCGTGTGTCTTGGTGGCAGTTCGATTCCGGTCGTATCACTTATAGTAACAACGCATAGATTCAATGGTGTTATGTGTCTGTTATAATAAATACATGCACATAGGTTAAATGAGGGGAATATTTTTTTTATGTCAGAAAGCGGTATTGGAGCTCGCGGTTCACCTGATGTTGAGTGATAACCGCCACCCATGTACATTTGCAACAACTGTAGGGCTGCGAATGTATTGGCACCTTTAAATAAAGTGGGCCCCGGCTACCTCACTCACCAGGCGAAACGCAGAAGTGTAACACTTCTACTTTACGCGGGTCTGTGAGGTCGTGGCACTTACCCGGATGGACCTGCCCATTCGTGCAATAGTGAACACTGTTGCGTGGTGTTGAGGTGATGCACCTTATTAATATGTAGGTTTTTCGAAATCGGTTAATTTTTTATAGACTAACCCGATGGATTAAACATCCTTAGAATCTGAAGACATCGTCGTTAGAGAAGTCGTATTGAAAATAAAATAAATGATGTTCGTATTGAAAACTAGCTGCTGCCCGCGACTACGTCTGCGTAAAACAGGCTGAAGGCGTAACATTCAGACAGAAAGACAGATATACATAAAAATATGTATATGAATTATAGCCTATGTCTTATTCTAATGTATAAGCTATATTATTGTAAAATTTCATTAGAATCCATTCAGAAGTATTTGCGTGAAAGAGTAAAAAAATCCATCCATGCATACAAGCTTTCGCCTTTATAATATTAGGAAGGATAAAATAAATTGATTATCTACATCCGGTGTACTTTGAAGTGTCGTAGTTAACATTATTGTGAAGACATAGACAGGTAAACAAATTGGTCTCATTAAAATGCCACGATCCATACATACGTCGGGTAACAACTATCTACACCACGTCAAGGATGAAAGATACGAGAGCTCATTTATCCTTTGAATAACCGACTTCTAAAAAGGAGTCACAATTCGAGTTTTATTTTTTCTATGTTTGTTACTCCGTTACTTTTTTTTTGTATTTTTTTGTTACCTCAGAACCTTACCTTTACCTTTCGACGGAATGAACCGCTTTTTATGATTCTTTTTTTATTTGAAAGCTGATACTTCCCATTTGATCCCATATTAATTTCGTTGATATTGGATTTTTTGCTCCGGAGATACCAAGGGAACTCCTGGAAGTCAATCGTAAAATGAAGATATTTGAAATCGGTTTTGTTTTTCGTTAATAGAAAGAAAATTGTTTAACTTAGCCATACGAACTGCGGTGTGGTGTGAATGCGCATGTAGCTAAATGCATCGTCATTGCAGTGGAGGGTACGCAGCCGAAACGCCAATCAACAAAGACGCCATGTGTCCGGATGATTCCGGACGAACGGCGCGCGCTGCGGGTCCCGGATATCGCGTCCGAACGGAACGCCCGGTCAACCGGCTGATCGCCTATGACTGTTGTAAGGTGAAGGATACACTGAGAGATTTCATAATTAACGTCATATCGAAGAAGTATAATAAAAGCAAAATTCTACTTCTTTTTTTCTGTGAGAGAGTGGCAAACGAGATGGCGGTTCATCTGATGTTACGTGATAACCCATTGACATTTCCAACGACCGTAGGGTTGTTACCACCTTTAAATAAATGTGGGCCCCGGCTACCTCACTCACCAGGTGAAACGCAGAAGTATAACACTTCCACTTCACGTCGGTCTTCTGTGAGGTCGCGGTACTTCCCCGGACAGAGCTGCCCATTCGTGCAACAGCGAACACTGTTGCGTGGCCCTACCACAATAAACGTTCCTATTGCATTTGTAGCAATGGTTGGCGTTATTTAATGTGATCTCTTTACAGCAATCACGCTTTCTAGCAAAACGAGCAAGGTTTTTACTATTTATTTATTTATTTATTTATTTATACTTTATTGTACACCAAAAATAAAAATATATAAAAATTAAATTACAAATGAATATAAAAGGAAGTACAATAGGCGGTCTTATCGCTCAGAAAGCGATTTCTTCCAGACAACCATTGCGAAAAGAATATTTGCTAATGAGACATAAAGAAGAGAGCAGAGGGAGGTGTACATGAATCACTTATGTTCGCTCACGTTTTTATGTATATAAAAATAATAAAATAATGAGAGCCATCTACATTTCTTATTGAGATCTGTAACGGGCGTATGTGATTGAGAATATGCTGCCATCTTTAAAAAATAAGCTTCTAAGGTGTTACTTTTGGGTTACAGTGGTGCTTTGTTATTTTTTGAATGTGCATATTTCGCTCGGTGCAGCACATCCCAGTCTCATAGCCCCCATGTCCATTCGCACCCAGTGTTCGCAGCCAGCGAGACAAATTTAATTATTCGACCAAATCGCGCGAATTACGTGGCGATTTCGTTTCATCGCCGTTTCGAACGTTATTGAAACTAAAGAGCAATAAAAGGTTTGTGCAAAAATACAAAAGTTTGGATTTAACACAGTCATATTATATTGCATGATTTTGTAATATTCAGCTACTCGTATTATATGGTTTTCACCAATTTACGTCTTAATATATGTATGTATAATGTAATTTTCTCAAACTGTTTCTGTACCAATATTGGCATAAATGCTTAAATCATAGGACATCTTAATTGATCTGTGATATTGTTCAAATTATATATAACTAGCGGCCCGCCCCGGCTTCGCACGGGTAACAATAAGTTTAACAAAAAATTTAAAATTTAAAAATTTATCACACACACACATAAAACCTTCCGAATGTTTCGTCTATGGTGAATAATTTTATGAAATTCTTCATCTTTTAATGAAATACCCTTGAAATTGCGTCATGAAGATCGAAAGACCGCTGACCAGATTATGATTCCGCTTTAATTACGGGAAATTCGGGGTTACTCGTAAAAGTGACAAATAAGTCTGGTCTCCCATAGCTTTAGACATAAGTCATCGCATCTTTGGTTTTTTAATGCAGATAACTCGGAGAACCTGTAAATGGATTTGACGTTGCAGATTACGCGTTGACCGATATTTGATGGGCCAATGTCTTGATGCCCTGATACCCTCTGTATAGAGGAGGCCTTTGCCCAGCAGTGGGACTTGTATTGGCTGTTACTTTACTTTTTTTACTTTACAATGTCTTGATTTAAAGCGTCTCTAAGATGAAAGTTTCCCCAGCCCTCAGTCTCTGGTGATTACGACATCATATGTAATTCAATCTTTCTGATATCTTTTTGCCATCGTATCGACAATGTATTGAATAAAAACCGGCCAAGTGCGAGTCGGACTCGCACACGAAGGGTTCCGTACCGACCTCACAGAAGACCGGGGTAAAATAGAAGTGTTATACTTCTGCTTTTCGTCTGGTGAGAGAGCTTGCCGGGGCCCACTTTATTTAAAGATGGCAACATATTTGCAACCCTACAGGTGTTACAAATGTCCATGGGCGGCGGTTATTACTTAACATCAGGTGAACCGCCAGATCGTTTCCCATTCTATCACATTAAAAAAAATCATGTTTTAATATATTTATTCAATATAGAAGTATTACACTTACATATTGACAAAAACACTACTACTGTCAACATTATCTATAAAACAGGCAAAAAAATCATGTCTGTTTTATGGGAGCCCCTCTTATTTATATTTTTTTTGTTTTTAGTATTTGTTGTTATAGCGGCAACAAATGACAACGAAATACAATTTTTGTGAAAATTTCAACTCTCTAACTATTACGGTTCATGAGATACGGCCTGGTGACATATGGACAGACATACGGACATACAGATGGACAGCGGAGTCGTAGTAATAGGGTGCCGTTTTACCCTTTGGATACGGAACCCTAATAAGTCCCAGTAATAATGTAATGGTTTAAAACAGGTAGCTCTAACCATCAACCTAAATGCATAAAATTACATGCATGTCACAGTTTTGTTACACACAGTACCTTGCTGAGGAATAGTCAAATATTAACCGTCTTCTCCTATTACGACTATTAAGAGATATTTTAGTGGATCATACAATCGGTGTAACTCAGAGACCCTTTTAAGTTGGCCGTGTCTACCGTGCAACAGTATCTCTAGGAGTGTTGGCGGCAGGCAGGCGGCTGGTTGTAAAAATATAGCCAAAACCACTTACAACATGTTTCATGTTGTGCCGAGCCCACCTAGGTGAAATAGGGGCAGGAGGATGATGATAACTTGTAAACTTGTCCCTCTATTTTAAAAGTTCACGCTAAACGAAATCATTCGAAAGAGGCTATTGCACTTTCGGATGTTGGTTAAAAATGGCCAGATGGTGAATGATTATTTGTCAAAAGATTTTTTATTGGCTGTGGCGGCTCCTCAATATTGGGGAGACTAACTTTTCCAGAAGCACTGCACATACCATTTGGTTCATCGACCCATTTTTTGGCAGAACACTTAGAGCATATCTTATTCATGGCTCCGACTTGAGCTGTTGAGCTTAATGCATTAAAGCTGATCTGTTACTGTGAGCTAAAAGTCGATTACGAACTGTAATCGTTGACGTTTGTTGTCTTTTCCTCTAATCTAGTAGGTGTTGGGAACGCTCAGAACTCGACTCATTAGTGAGAACACTCTTGACTCTCTCCGACTTGTAAGACTATTTTCAGTTTCCGGTAAAGATTCCTCATTACGACGTATTTTTGATGCCCTCGCCTGGGAATTATTTCTAGAAAGATGAGATCTTTAAAATGATAAAAAAAATTAAACTGCCTTTGTCTTTAATAATTTGCTAACTATCGAACAGGAATTACCAGTATAAATGTGATTGAAAATTTATAAGAACTACTAAGTCAGTCACTAAACTGTTTGGATAGTTAAATTTCAATATACTAACATTTTTAAACTTGTGATATCTCTCGAATGGAATGTCCGAATTTAATAATTCAAAAAGTTATATAAAGATATTGAACCCGTCTTAAATATGAAGTAATTTATTTTCATAAGGATTAATACCAAGATACAAATAAAGAGCCTTTTCTAGTGGCGGCATTTCAATCAAAATTTTAAAATAAAAGTACACCATAATATATAACCATAACCATAGTAGTTAGACATATGCTGTCGCGACACTTTTTGTAAATAATGATGTGTTGTGCAAAGTCGTAGTACATTATTTTATTCTATCATCAATAGTTTTCGCAGCGCACGCGATATAAAGAATATTTTAGGTAATTTTTGTACACTTTGGGTTACATTTTTGAAATTTTAGTAAGGATCCCTACTTTTTTGAAAATATAATATAGCCTATATCAACCGGGGATAATGTAGCTTCCCAACAGTGAAAGAATTTTTCAAATCGGTTCAATAGTTTTGGAGCCTATTCAATACATACAAACAATCAAATCTTTCCTCTTTATAATATAGATTAAATAAAAAAAAATTATAATAAACATTTAATAAAAACAAAGTAATAAACTAATTAAGTTTTTAATACATGTACATAATCCTAAATGATGAATTAATGATGTGGTATGTATTCTTATCATCAACTTATAGTAGTGTATAAAAGTGTAACAGTGGTAAGCGCTGATGTGGACTTAAATTGAAACGGCATGCAAAATAAAGCCTATGTCCTACTGCTGGGCAAAGGCCTCCTATGTGTAGGGGGTGTTAGGGCATAGTCCACCATGCCGCCCCACTGCGGATTGATGACCCTGACATATCACATTATTACATATCAGTCTTACGGTGGTAGGGCCACGCAGCAGCCTCGGCTGTTGCACGAATGGGCAGGCCCGACGGGGTAAGAACCACGACTCACAGAAGACCAGCGTAAAGCGGAAGTATGACAAATACTTTCGCGTTTCGTCTGGTGAGCGAGGTGGCCGGAGCCCAATTTTCAAAAGGCTGTCAACGCATCTGTAACCCTCGGGTGTAGCAGGTGTCCATGGGCGGCGGTATTCACTTAACATCAGGTGAACCGTCTGCTCGTTGGGCAAATTTCACATAAAAAAAAGTCAAGTTTTATTCACCTAAAAGGATGGAATACTGTACATACAACGTTTTAGCGAATGGGACATCCACTCGGTTAAATGGTATAATAATGTCTTTGTTTCCTCTTTTATTTTGTTTGTTTTATATATTTACTTCACCAGTTTTTTAGGGTTCCGTACCCAAAATGTAAAACGGGACCCTATTATTAAGATTCCGCTGTCTGTGTGTCTGTCTGTCCGTCTGTCACCAGGATGTATCTCACAAACCGTGACAGTTAGAAAGTTGAACTTTCAATGATGTATTTATATACCTGCTTTATCTACAAATACTAAAAACAGAACAAAAAAAATATATAAGTGTTAAAATTTTTATTTTATCCCATAAAATAGACATGATTTTTTCCGTTTTTGTGGATTATCCATGATAAGAAGTATTTTTCTATTGTTTTGAAATTTTGTCTATTGTTATCTATTGTTTTATATCA